TTATTATAAAATTTCGGTATGGTATACGGTATTTCGGTATTTATTTTATAAATACCAAATACCGTACTGAATACGAAAAAAAATTTAAGGGTCATTCTAAATACCATACCAAATACCATAATATCCATACCGCGGTATAAAAAATTTCGATTTCGGTGTGGTATTCGGTATATACCATACCATGCCCACCCCTAAACTAAGATGAGTGCTTGATTCTGCCTCATGTTTATCAGAACACAGCTATTAAAAGGTAAAAAAGAAAGAGAGAAGAATATGAAAAGTGTTGTCTATTAACTGATTGACCTTCCCAATGAGTCTTACTCTATCAGTTAACATGGTGTAGTTCCCCCAGTTGGTGTGGTAAATAGTACTGCTATCTTCTCCATAAATTAGAAAATATTGACCTTCCCTTTCATGTGTACAGGTGATTTTATTTATGAGGTTTCTTCTCAGTCACCAACTCGGCATTTTATTATACATTCTCGGAAGGCATTATTGAATGGAATCAGCCCAGCAGATAATCGAAAAATTCCCCCTCTCAAGTACGCAGTTTGTAATAGCTTAATAATCCAGCAAGGATTTATGATAATGAACCAAGTGAAATTATGTATCTCTATTTAATCATTTACTGGTGTATTTGTAGCCAAGACTTTCCTGTCTTTATATCTCAACAACTGTTCCTAATCACTGATAAACAAAAAGATCTTAATAATTGCTCATACTGACTAGCTAAGGTGGGCATTGATAGGTATGAGTACTACTATGCCCTTTTGCGTGATTTCCCTGATCTGCAGTTCACTATAAATGGAGGCATAACTTCTATTGAGGAGGTAAGTATCGCAAACCTATATGGAGTTGACATGTACTAATTTGTGAAAAAATGCTTTTAAAATGCTAAAATCAAATGTGAATAAGTTCTCCACTATTACTTTACTGTCAGTCAGGAATCAGGATTATTTCCTTTATTTTGAGCATAATAAGTTGCATAAGGATGGATTGGTGTTGACAGAATGCTGGATGTCTGATCCATTTAAATTACCTAATAGTCCCACATCTTGAGATGGCTATGATATCTCCTTGATAGGCTTCTTTCTGTGAAAAATAACTTGTCCAAAAAAGAAAAGAAAAATTAAAAGAGATGCATTTATATGCTCTTTCTTAGTCGACAAAAATCTGGATACATATTATGCCCCTAGCAATTCAGAGTCCAATCTTGTGCCAATTTAGGCTTGGGAAGTTTCGCTGAAAACTGTATAACTAACTGGTTTCTAGTCTCTCTTGCGCATTGATTGTGTAAGGCTGTAAGCTTTGTCAAACTTCATACTTGCACATAGGATTTCTTCTCCATTTGCCGATCTTTTGGTGCATATTCATATTCTATTTTAATGCTGCACTCTCACAATACCTAACCCTTTTTTGTGGTTGTTGCGTTTGTAGGTTAATGCAGCATGTACAGAAGGTGCTCATGGGGTTATGGTGGGACGTGCAGCTTACGGCAAGTACGAAAAGTGTCTAAGTTCGTAGCCGTTTCAATATTTTGACCTTGTTAGTTTGAAAGATGTCTACATATTTGTATCATCCCTTCTCCTAGATGTCTACATATTTGTTTCACTTTACTACTGGTTTCTTTTATCTACTAGACACCTGTGTATGACCTCCCAAATATGGATGTTCTATGGATTCTATATGTTTGTCATATTCTCCTGTAATGCCTTTGAGGATACTTTTGAGAAGAATGTCCTTGTAGATCATGCAAGTTGAAAATTGTAGGTTTGTGCTAACCGTTAAATTGAAAAATAAAAATGGTCTCTAGAGAGAACTTGAAAGACAATGCCCATTGGCTTCTCTTTAAGTTGGTTTCCCAATAAAGCAGTTAGTTATCTGAAGAGAGGTGGCTTTTACACCCTTCGGGGTAGCTTAGATGGTTTTGCTTGGGACTTCCATAATGGAGGTCTCAAGTTCGAAACCTCTTGCTTGTGAGAGCAGGGGGTTGGCCTTCCTGGTTGAGCTTGTCACAGGGGGTTTGCTTAGTGCGGTGTACCTCTTGTGTGTGGTTTGCGGGCTATTGCACAAAGTGGGGGGGGGGGGGGGGGGGGGTATCTTATGTGCACCCAAAGGGTAGTGGCTGGGGGTTCCCTTGTCAACAAAAAAAGAAAAGAAAAGAGAGGTGGCTTTTACAACACATGAATAGAATTGTAAATATGCTGTGAACATCAAATTTATTGTTTTAAGCTATTCTGTCTGGATAAACTTTTCTGTGTGGATCCATAGGAGAGATGGATTCTTGGTAAATAGAAGCTTTTGATATTTGTAGGATTATTTGAGAAAAAGAAGAGCAGCAACCTTTTGACCTCTGTGGGGAATGTGCAAAAAAATATCAAGTAACTGCTTCACCAAGAAAAAATAAAAAATCAAATAACTGTAACTGAGTAGTGGACATCATGTGATAAGTGGGGATCTTGTGCGTGTAATTGCATTGGTGATTTGTTGTTCAGTGGGTCTATATTGTGATTCTGATTCTGATTCTAGCTTTTGGTTCGATAATGCAGAATGATCAACCCCATCATATGTTTTGAAGCTCTAACTGCTAAGCTTGACATCTAATTTTTTATTAGTTTTCTCATTTTTTTTGACATGTTAAGACAACTCATGCTTTTGACAGTCCATGGCAGATTCTAGGACTCGTTGACAGCGCTGTATATGGTGCACCTCTTCGTAGTATAACACGGCGCCAGGTTCTTATTGCCATCTGTTTGTTTTTTTTGGAGTGAAATCTTCCCACTTAAATAACATATGGTCTCATTGTTACTCATGTCTTCATGGTGGCAGGTTCTTGAACAATACCAGGTCTATGGGGATTCAGTCCTTAGAATATATGGGCCTAGGCCAACTGTTCGGGAAGTTGTCAAGGTAGGGTCTCTCGTCACTTTATTATTTTTAGCTATTAGCCTTAGCTGTGTCTGGAGTTTTGCAAGCTAAACACACTTTTAAAAGCTTAGTTAGCGAGTTTTCTATCTTCCTCATTCTTTTGTTTTCTTAGTTTAACATTGTATTAGGGCTTTGACTCCCAAAACATTTTATTGTTGTCATCATTTTAACTTTTCCCTGTACAGCCTTTGCTTGGCCTATTCCATGCAGAGCCTAGAAATGTTGTGTGGAAGCGTGCGGTTGATGCTGCTTTCCGGCACTGCACGGTATGTCACTACTGAATTATGACAATAAGTACTCTCTTTAATAATCATGACAGTTGGAATTGCTCTTTCCATTGCCATATTCTTGCTGTGATGCAATCATCTTTCACCTAGAATGGAACAAGTTTCTGACACTCATTTTCCCGAGTGGAATAGGATTTTATTGTATAGAGAAAATTGTTTGGAAGAGTATAATGTTTCTTTATTGTGGAGCCATAGTAAAATAACCATGGGAAGACATGAAAATGGTAGTGTTGCTAAATATTAATTTGACTTTATGAAATTCATGGACCTTGCTATTTAGGAAAGATGTCACATTCGTGTGCAGTTTAAGCACATTCATCACTGAACATGGTATCAGACAAAATAGTTTGATGTGCCTATACGGCCCATCAGGAGCAAGCTCTGTTAGATTTTTGTTAGTCACTGGCAGGGTAACTTTAAATTGTCACATATGTCAATATATCTGTTTAAAACTGTATTTCTATGCTGTCTAAAGTCCCTTTCCGTTCAAGTCCTCCTGCAGTAACTGATTTTAAACCTTGTAGACAATAAAATCCCTTTTCGAGGAGACGTTGGGGGAAATTCCAGACGAAGTCCTTGATGCTCCCATTACAGAAGTTCCCTCTGGTATTACAGATACATTCATTAAGGCGAAGAGTTTGTTACCTCCTCCATACACCGTTAATGAAGAAGAATTACTGTATGCTTAAAACATACATATTTTTCTTACCTTTGTGTTTGTATCCACTGAAATCTATTCATTCTTTCAGTATTATGTGTTCTAGTTGCCTCATTTTGTGGGATGTAAAAGTGAATTCTTACAAGCTCACTGCTGCTATGAACAGAAAGCTGGAGCTACTGACATATTTTTCTAAAAAAAAAGATATATAGTCTATTGTGTAACAAATTCAACCTATACTATACAAACCAAACTTGAAGCCTTGATATTATTAAATTCATGGAAATTCAATTTATACTCAATATAATTACTAGTCTTAGCATCTCATTTGTTCTAAACATTTGCAATTTATTTTGTCTGATGTTCTTGTTTCATTATTCTTTTTATTATTAACTTGCTTCTTAATATTACCTGGGGATAATTTTTTATGGAGTTTTTCGAGAAATAATATCTATGAATTTAAATTTAAACAATAGTGTGTTTTTTTTGTTATAATTTTAAAATAAATATAAATTTCTCTATTGAAATAGTCCATGTTGATTCTTAAAAACTGGAAAATCTTAGTAGTTAATTGGTTGGTTGACTACCTGAATTTCACTTTTATATTATTGGTGCAGTTTTGATTCGTGAAGAAACGGAAATGTTTTCATATTAAAAGAATATATCAAAAAATTATTGGTGCAATTTTGATTTGTTGAGAAATGGAAATGTTTTGATATTAAAAAAATATATCAAAAAAGTTCCGTTGCCGGGACTTGAACCCGGGTCTCTCGGGTGAGAGCCGAGTATCCTAACCAACTAGACTACAACGGATTATTGAACATGTTGTCAGGTTAATTTATTTTATTAATCTCAAAACATAAGAAATAAACATTATTACTCAATTAATACATTTTATAGGAGGAAACATGAATCCATCACGACACTAACTTACACTAAAAAAAAATAATAAAATTACATAATACAGTAGCAGTTGTAATAATAGTTCCTAGCCAACATGATTCTAAAATTGCACTTCCTTTAATTTCCTACTACCCCCTTAAAATTGCCAATGATTGTCTCAATAAGGAGAAAAGGAGTAGAAGAAATGAAATTAAGGGACATGTACAAAGGAGAAAGAAAAAAAATTAATTCCACAAAAATGCCAATGGGTGCGTCTCGGAAGGGCATTTTGGGAATAACACCCCCTTTGTTGTGTATTTAACGTTTGTACATAAAGCTTTGACAGTTAAACCTCCTTCGTGACGTATATTCACATTTTCCATTTGTATCCCTTTGCATGGAACAGTTTTGCTGCATTTTAATTTAATTGCAGTTTGCGTGGAACTCGTTCCCTTTATATTTTTGAACATTATGTTACTCACATGCACTGCTTCTTTCTGAAAAATACATAAATAAATAAAATATTAGAACTAATCGTAATTAAATGAACATTTTATCCAAAGAAATTTGACACAAGTCATATGAGAAAACTATATAGTAAAGGCAAAAGCAAGGCACTTTAATTGCATAGTTTTTTAAGGTCAGTGGTAATTTTTAATTTTGACAATAAAATATGTAATGCTTTTGAAATAAAGTTACATATTTGAAGATTGCACGTAGAAAGTTGACAATTCAAAAAATCTTAAAAAGCGTATAAAAAAATTACGATCAAAGAAAAACTCGTGTGACTCTTGAAATTCTATTGCTGCCACAATTGGGATGGGAGGAGGGGGTATTTTACTAAAGTTATCTCCAAAATAATTATTATTTCTACTTCATGAAGTGAGTATAATTCTAAATTATTGTTGTTGATATATAGAATGTTTAATGAATATAATTATAATTACCTGCTCTTTGCATGGTTTATCTTGGTCACAATAAAATTGATCAATGATTATGGGGTTGGTCACATTCACCATCTGTATGTTTTGAAAAAGAATGTCTTTTGCATATCCACGTCCTCCCTATTTAAATTATAAACAATTAAAAATGTTGAGCATTCAATAAACACAAGAATACAAACTATAATTAAACTGCTAATTAAGACCAATAAGTTTAAATCAAAGACAAATCTATTTTATATCTTGAAAATAAAAAGAATAAAATACTAACTTAGATAAAGTGAGGTGTTAATTAATAACGTTATTTACCAGTTTTTCAACAAAACTAAATAGTTTCTAGGTAATTAATTTGCTAAATGAGTGGTGAAAAATCGTGAGGAACTCAAAATAGATGATAACTGAATTAGTATTGCTTTGTTTTTTTTTTTCGTGCTCAGGTATCTATATTGGAGTCTGATTAAATTCAAATTTGTGCGCTTCCTAACAAAGGTGACTCCGTCCATACCTGGGGACTCAAACCCGAGACTTCTTGTTAAGGATGAAGAAATATTTATCACTCTACCACAACCCTGAACTTGATGGTGAATGAGTATTACTTTGCATATCTACTAATTTCAAAAATAGATTTCTATTTTATTTCTCACTATATCAAGAAAAGATAATTATTACTTTTTCATATTTTATTCTTAATATTAATTACTTATTCTTTAAATTATTTTTCAAGGTCTAATACTATACATTAATTAATAGAAATAATGTGATTAAAGAGTCAGGTCAATTATTATTTTCGTAATGGTATATCGAATCCAAATATAACAAGTAAAAGTAAACGGAAATTTAATTAGTGGGAAACCAAATGGATATATACCTGCCAAGACTTTATTCTTAATCCATTGGTTGTTCCCCTCAAGGTAGCATCATGTACATAAATATTTGAAACAACATCTTCCTCTTTATTCTTACCCAAGCTTCCAATACTAAAATAAAAAAATAAAAAAAATTAGTATTTTTTTATTATTATATAGATATGATTTTTTTTTTTTTCTCTACCATATAAATATTGCATATAGTTACCTTATTCCATGGCCAGGTCCACAATGTATATATCTTGCTCTAACATTAGTGGAACCATTTACTATTGAGATACAATCATCACCTAATTAATTGACCAAAAAAACATATTCAGTCAGTAATATATAATTAATTAATTAATTAATGTAATTTATTTTAATTTTTAATTAATAAAAAAAATACCTGTTTCAATATAAGAATGGTGAATATCAATATCTTTTGTCCCAGAAACATGAATTCCATCAGTGTTGGGGCTATCCGAAGGAGCTGTAATTTTCAATCTTGAAACTTCAACAAGTTCACTTTTGGTAATTGTTAAGTGCATTTTTTGTGGATTCTTAAACTCTAAATTTCTCACTTTCAAATTTGTACAATTATAAAAGGACATAGCCTGTCAAAAATTAAGATATACATATTATTAGTATTAATTATGTTTTATTGCTTAATTTTTGTAATCTTTATAAAAGTTGGTTGAAAGTAAGTACTTACAGTTGGAACTGTTAGTGTTTGTGTATTGCATGGCTGCAGAAAAAAAAAGAAGAGAAAATTAATGATATACTACTATATATTACACGATGGTGCTGTTATAACACGTAAAATTAGGCGCAATACATAAACATGATCCTTAACTTGACTTCAGCTGACAATTATGATCTTTAATTTTGAGTGTGCACAAGTAGACATTTAAACTTGTATAAAATTATACAAATAGACACATTCGTCTATCATGGTATCCTACGTGTATTATGTCTTGCAGGACACGTGTGTCTACTTGTTCAATTTTATACAATTTTACGTGCCTACTTGTGTACACTTAAAATTGAAGGACACAAATGTTAGTTGAAGTCAAGTTAAAGAGTATATTTATTGAACACAATTTGTGTTTTGATTAATCAATTCGAAAAGCATCTTTGAGTAGCAATTGTGTTTAACCAAAAAAGACTGCTTTTCAGAAGTTAAAAGGAATAATTTTTTCCCCTAAAAAATACCATTTTAAAAAACTACACTTGGACTTATTAAAAGATTGGTTAAACACAAATTGTTACTCAAAAGCATTTTCTAAATTTATTAATCAAACACAAATTACTTTTCCTTTTTTTTTATACATGGTGTAACATAGAAAAATGAAATTAAAAAAAACTCACAATAGTTTTATCAACTTTGCAAGAGCTTTTCCACCATACTTGTCCATTGCCATCAATACTTCCAACACCTTCAACTATAAAATTTTCCATATTTTGGAATAAAAGCCAATGTCTTTTATCTTCCTTATAATCTGATATATCTTTTGAAGCTCTTAGTTCTCCATTTATCTAAATAAAAACAAAACAGATATTTAAATAAAAAGAATAATTAGGAAAATAAATTACAAATTATATAAGTTAATTGTAGTAATAAATAGTAGAAATATTTTTAATTATTATACTCACCATCATTCTAAGTCCTTTCTTACAAGGACCATGAAACTTAATTGGTCCAATGTAATATATTTTGTGTCTTGGAATCAAAAGCACACCATTTTTTGTTTTGCATGTCTTCTTCCAAGCCTTTATAAATGCCTGAAATTGGAATACATTATTTCAGTATAAAGGCACTTAAAAAAATATTTATACAATCAGATCACTTATAAAGTAAGTATACGATAAATCTCTCTATAATAAACATTATTGACAACATAATAGGTTTAGCTACACTAATAATATAGTAGTTTTTACAATATCCATGTATATATCCTAAATCATTTCAGATTATTTGACAGGGGCAGAGTCGGGTAGGAGCAAGGGATTCATTCGAACCTCCTTCGACGAAAAATGACATTGTATATTTAAGGTTAAAATTATTTTTATGTATATATAGTATATGTTGAATTTCATTGACTCCTTCCTGTGTCTACCTTTTCACATTTTAAACCCCTGAATAAAATTCTGACTACGCCACTGTTATTTAATGCCACTAGGTAGAATTGTCCAGAAAAACAAAATTGAAAAAAGAATTTACCTCTGTATCATCTGAAAGTCCATCACCTTTGGCTCCAAAAGACTGTATATCAATAATTGCTTGTGTCCTCTTTTTCACATGACCATTTTTTGGTGCATTATGACCATGTTTTATTGGTTTTCCAATCTTCTTTTTTCCATTACAAGAAGTTGAAAACAATGAAGTGGCAAACAATACTATAAAGAGAATTCTAAAAAGCATTTTATTTTATTTTTGCCTTTTTTGCTCTTGTTGGAACTTATAAAGGAAATAAGAAATCAAAATGAAAAAAGAACTTTGTACTGCCTCAATTTGATCATGAAGTACATATCATCAATATATATAGAGAGAGAGGAATTATTAAGAATGAAGGGAAAAAATAAATGGTTCTTAGAGAAAGTGTTCTTTTTTAGAACAAAAAATGAGAGGAAAAAAAGTCAACAATTTCCAGATTCGGGTATATCTCAACTTAGGAAAATATTTGAAAAGGGGACTAGTATTTTCTCACAATAATGGTTTCTTACTTTCCTTGTGCTTGTTATTAGTCATCATCATACAAGCATGAGTTTGTATGAAAACCAAATAACTTCCTAATAATTCATCTAGTTAAACCTACTACCTCCGTCCACTTTTATTTGTCATGTTGCGCTTCTCGAAAGTCAATTTAACTCATTTTCAAAGTTAGTTAGATTATATTGATTCGATGTTTTAAACAAAAAAAATTAAATATTCAAAAACTATATGAAAAGTACTATAAATTACAGTTTTTTACATATCAATATAATGAAAAAATACATCGTAAAATGTTAGTCAAAGTTCTAATAATTTGACTCTAAAAAAGAAAATTATGACAATTAAAAGTGGACGGAGAGAATACTTTTTTAGATTCGAAAATTCACTGATCCAATTAATTTAGACTTTCAATATTGTAAAAATATCCACAAGGGAGGTTATAGCAATTCCTATTGAAGTGAACTTTATTCCCAAGTTTTGAAGAAATTTTTATAATTCACCAAACAGGGGTGAAATTTAGGGGTAACTGTGGCCTTAGTTGAAAAATTATGCTATATACATATGATCAGGTAAAATTTATATATATATATTAAATGCTGAATTTTTTTAATTCTTCGTATTTATTTTTTTATAATTTGAATCTCTTTAATTTTAAAAAGAAATTGAAATCATTCTAGGGTAGGTTAGCTAAATCTACTACTAATAAAAAGGTTGGGAAAGAGTAGCTAAGCTTCTCCAACTAAATATATAACTATAATTAGAGATTTGTAGAAAACATAATATAGTTTTAAAAAATGTCTGAAGAATAATTAACTTGACTTTGGAGACGTATTTTTTTTTTTATCAATACTTATAGCAAAGAATTTAAAGGGATCTTTTTATAATATAATGGTTAATTTACTAAAGTAAATATGTGAACGTTAAATGTAATAAATCCACGGAATTAGAATTAGAAAACTCATCATACCTTAGATTAATTTAATACTCCTTCCGTCCTTCAGTCTTATATAGTTAGTTGTCATGTTTCACTTTCGAGAGTTAATTAGACTATATGTTAGTAGCTAAACTGAATTAAATTAATTTAATATATTAAAATTCCAATTTAAATACTAAAGAATTGTACAAAAAAACATTATGCGTTGTAATTCTTCTCATATCAATATGGTGAAAAAAAAATCATAAAATACTAATCATAATTTATATAGTTTAATTAATTCTCAGAAAAAATAAAACCTTACAAATATTTTAGTAAAGATGAAATAGTAATTTTCATAAAACACACTATCTAGTGGAGCATTTCTATAGGAAATGATTATGTAACAAACATATGAAACGTTGAATCGTGTTTATATAGTTCTAAGTTTGACAACTTTATATAAAGTCAAAGTTTCCCAGAGAAAAAAAAGTCAAACATCTTTTGCTAGACTTATAAATTAATATCTAAAAACACTTCTCAATTTTTTATTATCCTATTTAAGTTAGGTTTGGTCATAAATTCCCAAATATTTTTGAAAAAAAATAAAGATTTGAATTGAAGTTTTAAAATGCAAATTGTCTATATATTTGGAAATATATTTCACCTTTTTTTTTGTTGGAAAAACATGACTTATAGTCTTATAATACCAACCAAAACGAATTGAAAGATGTTGTACTTGACCGATCAAAAAGTTCATTAATATTCAAACTAGGAAATATACCAACCCAAACTAATTAATTAAGTTCTTTACCACTTTGGGTGGTCATTATAAGAAAGGAATTAATTAGTCTTTTATTGTCCATTTTTTGTTTTGTGCTAATGCACATCATCATTGTTGATAAGGAGATGGAGTAGTTTGGTAAGGAATGTTGGGGAAATTAGCATTCATTTAGGTCTAAAATTGACTTCTGTTTTTTTGTTGTGTGTGTGAAGGAAAAGAGTAAGTTTGAAGAAGATAGAAAATGGGAGACTTGTGTTTGAGTGTGATTTGGTAGAATTAAGTCTATTGTTCTAACTTGGCTTGCTATCGTGTGTTTGGACAAAATGCATTTATGGATTCATAATAGAGATGAACAAATGGGATCAACACACACATCGATTGAGCGATAAATTAAATATTATGAAAATATAATTAATTTGTGTATTTCTAACAATATACTTTTCAACATAGCATCATTTGTGGAAAGCGAAATTGTGTGGCGTTATATACTATAGTTTATATATATAACAAGTCTGATGATTCATATCATTGCTCGAAGAAACGAAAATAAAGAATGATAAAATTTAAAACATTGGAAGGAAGGGAAAATTTGAAATTCCTTTTTTTTTTTCCTTTAGAGTTGGAATAACTTGTTTTTCCTAACCAATTCAACGCCAAAAAAGTCTTCATCTCTATGGCAAAGTTTATATTATTATTTAGCTCATCGTGGTCCATCATATTTTAGTTTAAATGATCTTTGAGTAGGTCAATGTATCGATGTTATGAAACTAATGAAAATATAAGGAGACTATGTGGGCTGGGCCGTTAGGGGGCTGGGAATAAGGCCACGATCCGCTAGACCCGTTCTGTCCTACTAACTAAGGGGACAAGTCGGGGGCCCTTAGTGAATTTGCTCCTTTTTTAAAAAAAAAGTAAATTTTAAGAATAGTAAAGATAAAAATCTAGCACTCTATAGCTATAGTTTTGTTATTTGCGCTCCATAGCCAAATTATGTTTGTTATGAAGCATTTGATTTATATAAATCGCGGTGAATTGTATAAATCGGGTGTTAATTCATTTATATCTATGAAAATTGTGTTTGTATATGTATGTGTTTTCTGTGTTAGGTTAGAGTGGCGAGCGAGATAGGGAGAGATAGAGGAGAGAGGTGAGTCAGAGAGGTGAATTGTATATGTATATTGGTTAGATATAACTGTATATATGTAACTACTATGTATGTGTATCAATGATTGTGTTTGTATATCTGCATAAAATTTAAATTTCTATAAAATTGGATCAAGTTAAAACATTTGTATTTGTATATAAAATCTATCTCGCTTTATACGAACACAAATTATATATTTGTATTTGTATATAAAATCTCTCCCGCTTTATACGAACACAAATTATATAATTGTATTTGTATAAAGAGAGAGAGAAAGACAAAAGAGAACTGGGCAGGGGAAGATTTGTATTTGTATAACTATAAGTGTATAGGACAGAGAGATATGTATTTATATATATAGTCTCTCTCGCTTTATACAAAACACAAACACAATTATACATTTGTGTTTGTATAAAGTGAGAGAGGCGAGGGAGAGATGATTGAAAAAGAGGAGAGAGGCAAGCGCGAGATTCCAGAGAGGGAGAGAGGCGAATGACAAGAAGCTTGTTACAGATTGAAATTAAATAAAACTGTAGCTATAACATTTATTTTGAATTAATAGTTTACTATAATGCACAGTTTTCCTTCTCTTTTAAAGGAAAAACTACCTAACTAGGCATACATCACTACCATATATACTAACTTTATCTCTAATTTCAAACAATTATATATATTTACCACTTTTAATATTTTATACTATATATTTTTAAAAATACAATCAGATATACAAATCCCCTAAAAACCGAATTAATTAATGATCTTTACATTTAAACAACTAAATTAAAGATCAACTAACAATTTGAATAGTTTTTTCTCTCTCCCTTCATATCTCTTGCCCAACCGTAATTCTCATCACCCCCACCCCCCACGTCCTCCACCACTTAGATTAACCATTTGTCTTTTCCTTCGTCCTCTCAAATCACGTTTTCATCTTCAGCTATCAAAATTGAATCTTGGTAATCGCCATTATATGTAGAGGTTTGATACTCTTGTTACATTATTATCATGTATGTGGTCTAGAGTTCTTCATTTTCATGTATATAAGATATTAAGCCTCAATCACACCTCTGATTAAGGAAATCAATTACACACATTTAATTTAAAATTAATAAATACATGTATCTCGAATATTCAAACGGACAAATACATGTATCTAGCCAATAATGATACATGTATTCAAAGGACAAATATGACATAGGAAGTAATATGGTGATATTGACCATTATTGAAAAAAACTCACAACCGCAAGGAACAAAACAAAATTGATGCCAAGAAGATGAGGTTTACAATTAGAGAATTAGTTTGGTTTTATAATTTCGTTATTTTAGAAAGATCTGTTAATGTTGATACACTAAGGAATCTGTAGATTTGTAAGAGTGTTAATTAAGCCTCAGTTAATCCTCTAATTAAGGAAATCAGTTCACAAATTTAATTGAAAATTAATAAAACATGTATCTCGAATATTCAAACCGACGGATACATGTATCTGGCAAGTAATGATGCATGTATCCAAAGGACGAAATATGGTATAAAAAATAATATTTAAAAATATCAAAAATCCTAGTAATTAGGATCTAAGCTAGTGTGATTTATGTAGTTTGTTCTTCTTTTACCGTTTTGGTATCTTTTGTGAATTGTTTGTTCTTTTAGAATTTTTGATCCTTTTTTTTGCCGTTTTGGCTTCACACTCATTAAAAATAAGTTGACGGTAGGGGTGTACATAGGTCGGTTTGGTTTGGTTTTTCATTAAAAAAAACCTAAACCAATTATGTCGGTTTATTAAATCTAAAAACTAAATCAAACCACGCAAAGTCGGTTTTTTTCGATTTCGGTTTAGTCGGTTCTTTCAGTTTTTCGGGTTTTTTTAC